ATTGTGTAACTGTGATAAAAACGCTGAGAATTCATGAATAAAAAGGCTGCACTTTTTAGGTGGCCTATAAATAATTACTGTTAAAATTTTGGGGTTGCTAAAAACAAGAGAGTGATACTCAAAACTTGAGTATTGGTTAAAAACAATAGGTTTGGTGGCCAGGGCGTTACTGCATATTGAGGCTGTGCCGCCACCTCTCTTTCCTTCTCTTGTTTTAAAAGCAAAGCTAAAAACGGGAGGGGAGGCCTCTGTGAGAACAGCCGGAGCATCCGGACCCAGCCACGTCTCAGTTAAAAACATACCATCCAGTTCGTGTTCTAAAATCAAATCGTTTACAGTAAAAGTCTTATTTAAAAGAGAGCGTACATTTAAAAGAGCAAACCTGATGGTAGATGGGGGGTCATTTTTGTTTGTGGTGAGGGGAGAAGAAGATGTGGAGGAGCAAAGGGCAACAGGGATGAGGGTGTTGAGGGACGGTTTCCGGATTGTGGGCGGTCTGTGGGGGCGGGGTCTGGACAGAACTGAAATTCCTTGCTGGAGGGGGGAGCAGGGACTGATGTTGGAGTCCAGAGGGGCAGGAATGATGTGGGATGGAGTGGTGGATTGTCAGAGGTGCGGGGGACGGGATTGGACTGAGTGGGTGATGTTTGAAATCAGGTACCGGGTGCCGAGTTTATTGATATGGAGTCCATCGGGTGTGAAGAAGGGGTGGCGGTTCCAGAACAGATTAAAATTGTCAATAAAACCGAAGTTGTGCTGTTGTGATGAGTTTTGAAGCCAAGTGTTGAGTGATAATATCCTGCTAAAACGTTCCACGCCCCGGTTCAAAGTGGGCAGAGGGCCAGAGATAAAAACACTTTTGCCGGATTTCAATAAAAGGTTAAAAAGGTCCTTAAAATGGAGTTTGGTGGTTTCAGTTTGGCGAAGTGAAGTGTCATTTGTACCAACATGTATTATGATCCGGGTTATTGTGGGGGGTGCTGTCTGTAGAAGTGCGGGTAGTTTCGTGAGGATGGTGGGGACAGTGGTTCCGGAAAAGCAGTGCGTGATGGCATTGAAGAACTTACAGTGTTTGATGATAGAGTCATGAAATATTTGGAGATGGAAAACCACCAAACAAGCATGTACTCTTCCATTAGTGATATACTACCTCAGACTAGGGGCAATTCACCCATTCTAACCAAATCAGGCACTTGTTTTCTATGCTTTGATACAAATGTTAGACAGAAGATTATATATTATTACATTATTCACAATATTATCTTATTATTATTGTTCTTATTTTCAGATTGTTACCTTAATGTTATTTTTATTGAGAAATATAATGCGAGCAATTTCCTATGTGGATCAATAAAGTCTAAGTCTGAAAAGGAAAATATTTGCGTATTATTTGAATTCATATTCATACACTTTCTTTTGGTTATTTGAGCATTTTCCACAGATGGAAAGAAGAAACTGCGCTGCTTTACCCGTATGAGGCAGAGGCCTTTTCGAAGTTTCTACTTTTACTCGAGAGTACTGTGACTTTTTGTTAATTTGATTTGAAAATAATGAAATGTTTTGAACTGTACAATTTCAAATAAAACAATTAATCATTAAATCAGATATGATTTGACAGGGCTCTGAAACATAAAAAAAAAGTGCATCAATTAACTGCTGGAAATTCTGTTGAAAAAGTGGATGTACTCGTGAGTCCAACACTGAGTCTACTCCCTCCACACATTCATGGTCAATGCAGAGGAAAGGCTTGAAATACGCCTGATATGGTTTATGAGCCACTTCAATCACGACTGTTGTCAAGCAAAACAAGCGGGACGCAACAACTTCTTCCACAAACAGACACTAAATAGCGCACACGATCCCCTACTCTGGTTCTGAAAACCCGGTACAAGTTTGAATGATGCATGTGTTGGACTTACCGTGGCGTGTTCTGCTGAAGTGTTCGCACAAAGAGCCAGTCCGCGGCACGCGTCTCCAAAGCCTGTGCGTGTGCATGAGTGGCCATGCTCCACTTGCTGCAGACCGTCCTGTCCTGTTACTCTCATGCGCCACAAGCAGCATCCGCTTCGGCTATTCTCGGAACTCTTCGTTTGTTTCCGCTGCAAGAGACTGCAAATGAAAAGCAGGGGCCATATCTGTAACAGTCTTCTTCTGGAGATTAGCACTTGAAGTCCCGTGGAGGTGCCATTTGGCATTCTACCTAAAAAGCCCACCACGGTGCCAATTGCTTCAAAGGATTTTAGCTAACAAACTAAGTCACCTGAGAACGGCCAACTTTGTTCTGTAAATAAGGCACTTATCACAGGCTGAGGGAACTCTCCTTGCCTGGTTTTCTTGTATAATTGCTTATAAAACAGTCATCTTGTGATGCAGAGTCAAGCAGTATACTTTTTTCAGTACAACCTGGGGATTTATATAATATTCATAGTGTACAGCTGTCATATGAATTTTATAAAAAAAATTTGGAATCATGAAGACTAAGAAAAAAATGAAACGGACATTCAATTTCACAAAAATGAATTGAAAAAACACAATGAAATGCTGTAAACAACTTTTTAGACTGCATAGAAATTTTATTTAGGGTCAGAAAGAGATAATGTTGTAGTTATCTAAAGAAGTGGGCTGAGCTCAGGCTGAACCAGGGAGGCAACACAAGTGTGCGGTTCATGTTTCATCGACATGTTTTGGTGTCGCCAATATTTCCACAATTGGGTACATGGGCGACAGTAGCTCAGTTGGTAGAGCATTGGCCTTTGAGCCTGAAGGTCGTGGGTTCAAGCCCACCGCAAGACCTACTTCACGACTCCCACTGATGACTGCTGTCGTTGTGTCCTTGGGCAAGACACTTAACCCCACTTTGCCTGAAGCTCCCACTGAAAGATCTCAGCTCCTGTGGACTCACCACCTGTAGGAGGATCAGTGAGGGACTGGTGCTCTGTGGACTGGGTGGCATCTCTGGCCACCCCCCCGACCCAGAAATGGATTAAGGGGAAGAAAATGGATGGATGGGTACATTTAAACCATTAAAACACAATGATGGTAAGCTACTGTATCATATGCAGGTGACACCACAGCTTTCATATAACAATTAACAGCCCCCATTTAAAACAGTAGTGGGTAAAGTCAAATCAGATTTAAGTGTTTTGATTTATTTATTTATTTAATTGACTTATATGTTAAAAGTTTCCATTCAAGTGATTGCCAGGTCTTTAGTATTATCAAAATAACTATTGAATGAGTTATGCAGTATTGCTCAGAAACAGTATAAATAAGGGCTACTCTTCTTGGTGTTTGTCCCCATCGATGTTTCAATGTTATGGGTGTTTGTCCACTTCCATGTCTGAATGGTGAAGTGATTTGGGGGACAGAAGTCTGACTGTAGATCTTTGTTGCAGTCTGTGTTGACGGCCCAGAACCAAAGTGACGGATGTCCACATGTCCTTGCTGTGAGGAGGGCCTGGGGCTGAGGCCACTCACTGAACTGGATGTTCTAGCTGAGTGCTCCGTCCAGGCCCTGCTCTGCTGCCCCAAGCCCACTGGCCCCTATACTGGAACAAGCAGATGCCCCTCATCCCAGTGGCTAAAAAAAACAATTTAATCAAGCAACAGAGACACAATTAAGTTTGAGTCAACAGCATGCAACCTTCCTTTTAGGTAATACATCTAAATAATATACCTTTTTATTCATATAGTAAGTAAGTAAGTAATCTTTATTTATCTTTAATCTTTATTATATACATATATATATACATGTATATATGAGCCTCCTGGTACCTTCCTTCTGATGTTCAAGTATGTTGTGAGTAATAAGTGTTAGTATCAGTGCAATACAACTAACTGTTGTATAAGTAACTTTGAAGAAATACTTACATACATATTTACTATTTAGGAGAGCGACAGTAGCTCGGTTGGTAGAGCACTGGTCTTTGGGGTCGATCCCACCATGACCCATGTCAGCTGTTGTTGTGTCCCTGGGCAAGACACTTAACCCCACATTGCCTGAAGCCCCCGCTGAAAGATCAAGGCTTTGTCTTTGATGATGGAGAAGCCATCATCCCGTGGACCCACCACCTGCAGGAGGATCAGCGAGGGACTGGTGCTTTGAGACTTGGGTGGCAGCTCTGATTGAAATGCATTAATAAAGGGCATGACATGACATTTACTATTTAGGATTTTATGTACAGTTGAGGATACTCAGAAATCTTCCAAAAAGGCAAAATACATCAAAACATGTTTGAATTTTGTGTATACAAATGACATTCAGAGATTTGATTGAACATATTTTAATAACCAATCTCAAACAAGGGTTAGTATCTGTCCCAATAAGGACTTGTATGGTTCATATGACTACAAAAGAGACAAGCAGACCGGTCAAGTCATGGAAGAAGACGAAGTGAATATAATTGGGAATAACTAAACAAGCAGATGACATATGGTAGGGGTTTCCAACTTTTTTCAATCGGAGAGCTACTTTTATAAAAAAGAGGCAGTCCATCTAATAAATAAGACAACACATGGAGAACATATGTAAAATATAACATAACACTGTATAACCCTATATTTATAATTATAATAGTAATCATTCAAGATCATTTGTTAAATTCTAAATCCTTTGGTGGGCTACCTGAAAGGGGCTGGCAAGCTACTGGTAGCTCGCGAGCCACAGGTTGGAGACCCCTGACATATTGTAACAACACTAGGTTTATAGGAAAATTACATAAACAATTCGTCATCACTACAAGCAACTCACGTTTGACACAAGGAATCCCATTTTTCTCCATGTCTTGAGACTTGGATCCATGGCTAGATTTACATAGAACTGTTTGTTATTTTGGGACAGAAGTCTGCCTTGAAATATATTTTTGGAGGAATAAAGAATCACCCAAATGTGTATATGAATGGTATATCAGGTTTTGTGACGGTGTCCTTATAAATCTTAAAAAGCAGGATATATGTGCGTGTGACTTCATGACATGTGTGGCTCTTATATAAGTCTAATATTAGCCGCGCTGCAGCTCCAGGTCCTCGGATCTGGAGTCCTGGGGCCCTCCATCTGGCCATGTACAAAGATTATGTCCACATCAAGCATTGTATGGTCACTGAGCACATGTCATAGTCGTTTGGACCAGAAAGTTGTGGTCAAATAATTGTTTTTAGTTTAGTGTAATCCATAGTAGTGTTAGTTAAAAATATATCTTATATTAATAAAGATTAAGAAAGACCATTTTCCACTATAATACGAAACTCAATATTCAAATGCAACAAGGCAAATCAGTGTACAAGTGACCTGTCCCCACCAGAGATGCAAGCAATGGATACACAACTGCACCACAATGGATACACAACTGCTCCACAATGAACACTACAACTGCACCACAATGGACACTACAACTGCACCACAATGGTACTACAACTGCACCACAATGATATTACAACTGCACCACAATGATACTACAACCTCACCACAATGGACACTACAACTGCACCACAATGGACACTAAACTGCACCACAATGATACTACAACTGCACCACAATGGATACTGCTTCAAATCTTCCATCATTGTCCCCGTCCTGAAGAAGCCCAGGATCACAGGACTCAATGACTACAGACCTGTGGCACTTACGTCTGTCGTCATGAAGTCATTTGAACGCCTGGTCCTCTCCCATCTCAAGTCCTTCACCTCCCCCCTCCTGGACCCCCTGCAGTTCGCCTACAGAGCCAACAGATCTGTAGATGACGCCATCAACCTGGCCCTCCACCACATCCTACAGCATCTGGACTCCCCGCGGGGACCTACGCCAGGGTCCACAAACAGGACCCTGGTCCACAAAGGCAGAGCTGAAGTTTGTGGACTTCAGCTCTGCCTTCAACACAATCCTGCCATCCCTGCTCCAGGACAAGCTCTCCCAGCTCAACGTGCCCGATTCCACCTGCAGGTGGATCACTGACTTCCCGACAGACAGCAAGCAGCAAAGTGCGTCTGGGGAAGAATGTCTCGGACTCTCGGATTATAAATACAGGCGCCCCACAGGGCTGTGTTCTTTCTCAATCAATCAATCAATCAAAGTTTATTTGTAGAGCGCCTTTCATACACAGGGCAACACAAAGCGCTTCACAGTCCACATCACAAACTTTGCGCCTTATACGCGTGTGTGGCTCTCATGCACGTGCACAGAGGGGCTCGGCCGCGCTCTGACCAATCAGAGCTGATCAGAGAGCGGAGTCAGAGCGGGAAGGAAAGGAGCAGAGTTTGTGGCACTAAAGTGTGGATTTATAGAAAACCGAAGGATTTAAGAAGTATCCACACAAAATCTGATATTTATGAAAGCTGTAAGTTCTCTGTCAGGTTCTCTGTCAGGTTCTCTGTCAGGTTCTCTGTCAGGTTCTCTGTCAGGTTCTCTGTCAGGTTCTCTGTCAGGTTCTCTGTCAGGTTCTCTGTCAGGTTCTCTGTCAGGTTCTCTGTCAGGTTCTCTGTCAGGTTCTCTGTCAGGTTCTCTGTCAGGTTCTCTGTCAGGTTCTCTGTCAGGTTCTCTGTCAGGTTCTCTGTCAGGTTCTCTGTCAGCTGAGGTCGAGCTGTTTTAATTTACATTGAGTTCTATGGAACTTTTTTCTCTGTAGCCCTCGTGAATTGAGTCTGCAGTACCACAGCGCCCCCTGTGTCCATGGGTGGCGCGGAACAACAACAGCATCAACCGAGATGAGGGAGCTTATGGGACATATGGGACAGGAGGAAAGGACAGGGCAGCTGTGGCTACAGTTGTAGTTTATCACCACCGTGTATGGAGTGAAAGCATAATGGCACATGTAAAGCGTCTTTGAGTGTCCAGAGAAGCGCTGTATAAAACCGATGCATTATTATTATTATTATGGGACACCCTCCTCCAGAGACCACCGGGCGAGAGGGGGAGCGTGGTCAGTCAGAGCGACCTGCCAGGTCAATCAGGCTGACCACGCCTACTCAGGAAGTAACATCAGCTGCTGGGACTCTGAGGAGCACAGGGACTGGCCTCCTGCTGGGACTCGGAGGAGCACAGGGACTGGCCTCCTGCTGGGACTCTGAGGAGCACAGGGACTGGCCTCCTGCTGGGACTCTGAGGAGCACAGGGACTGGCCTCCTGCTGGGACTCTGAGGAGCACAGGGACTGGCCTCCTGCTGGGACTCTGAGGAGCACAGGGACTGGACTCCTGCTGGGACTCTGAGGAGCACAGGGACTGGCCTCCTGCTGGGACTCTGAGGAGCACAGGGACTGGACTCCTGCTGGGACTCTGAGGAGCACAGGGACTGGCCTCCTGCTGGGACTCTGAGGAGCACAGGGACTGGCCTCCTGCTGGGACTCTGAGGAGCACAGGGACTGGACTCCTGCTGGGACTCTGAGGAGCACAGGGACTGGACTCCTGCTGGGACTCTGAGGAGCACAGGGACTGGACTCCTGCTGGGACTCTGAGGAGCACAGGGACTGGCCTCCTGCTGGGACTCTGAGGAGCACAGGGACTGGACTCCTGCTGGGACTCTGAGGAGCACAGGGACTGGCCTCCTGCTGGGACTCTGAGGAGCACAGGGACTGGCCTCCTGCTGGGACTCTGAGGAGCACAGGGACTGGCCTCCTGCTGGGACTCTGAGGAGCACAGGGACTGGCCTCCTGCTGGGACTCTGAGGAGCACAGGGACTGGACTCCTGCTGGGACTCTGAGGAGCACAGGGACTGGCCTCCTGCTGGGACTCTGAGGAGCACAGGGACTGGACTCCTGCTGGGACTCTGAGGAGCACAGGGACTGGCCTCCTGCTGGGACTCTGAGGAGCACAGGGACTGGCCTCCTGCTGGGACTCTGAGGAGCACAGGGACTGGACTCCTGCTGGGACTCTGAGGAGCACAGGGACTGGACTCCTGCTGGGACTCTGAGGAGCACAGGGACTGGACTCCTGCTGGGACTCTGAGGAGCACAGGGACTGGCCTCCTGCTGGGACTCTGAGGAGCACAGGGACTGGACTCCTGCTGGGACTCTGAGGAGCACAGGGACTGGCCTCCTGCTGGGACTCTGAGGAGCACAGGGACTGGACTCCTGCTGGGACTCTGAGGAGCACAGGGACTGGCCTCCTGCTGGGACTCTGAGGAGCACAGGGACTGGCCTCCTGCTGGGACTCTGAGGAGCACAGGGACTGGACTCCTGCTGGGACTCTGAGGAGCACAGGGACTGGACTCCTGCTGGGACTCTGAGGAGCACAGGGACTGGACTCCTGCTGGGACTCTGAGGAGCACAGGGACTGGCCTCCTGCTGGGACTCTGAGGAGCACAGGGACTGGACTCCTGTTAGTGCCCAGAGTCAGAACTAAACATGGGGAGGCTGCTTTTCAGATTCATGCTGCTAAAATCTGGAACAGTCTTCCTGAAGATGTGAGACAGGCCTCCTCTCTGACAATGTTTAAAACCAGGTTAAAAACAGTCCTGTTTAGCTGTGCCACAACTGAGGGATTTTATATTTTTATCTTTCTTTTTAATGTTCTGTGATTATTTATGATTTTATTTTGTTCAGCACTTTGAGTTGCTGTGTGTATGAATTGCCTTTCCAGTCCATGGTGGTGTGTGAGTCACTGATCCATGCGCAGTATTCTCCCATACAGCAGGGGGCAGCCTGACGCAGTATTCTCCCATACAGCAGGGGGCAGCGTGACGCAGTATTCTCCCATACAGCAGGGGGCAGCGTGACGCAGTATTCTCCCATACAGCAGGGGGCAGCCTGACGCAGTATTCTCCCATACAGCAGGGGGCAGCCTGACGCAGTATTCTCCCATACAGCAGGGGGCAGCGTGACGCAGTATTCTCCCATACAGCAGGGGGCAGCCTGACGCAGTATTCTCCCATACAGCAGGGGGCAGCCTGACGCAGTATTCTCCCATACAGCAGGGGGCAGCGTGACGCAGTATTCTCCCATACAGCAGGGGGCAGCCTGACGCAGTATTCTCCCATACAGCAGGGGGCAGCCTGACGCAGTATTCTCCCATACAGCAGGGGGCAGCGTGACGCAGTATTCTCCCATACAGCAGGGGGCAGCGTGACGCAGTATTCTCCCATACAGCAGGGGGCAGCGTGACGCAGTATTCTCCCATACAGCAGGGGGCAGCCTGACGCAGTATTCTCCCATACAGCAGGGGGCAGCGTGACGCAGTATTCTCCCATACAGCAGGGGGCAGCGTGACGCAGTATTCTCCCATACAGCAGGGGGCAGCGTGACGCAGTATTCTCCCATACAGCAGGGGGCAGCCTGACGCAGTATTCTCCCATACAGCAGGGGGCAGCGTGACGCAGTATTCTCCCATACAGCAGGGGGCAGCCTGACGCAGTATTCTCCCATACAGCAGGGGGCAGCGTGACGCAGTATTCTCCCATACAGCAGGGGGCAGCGTGACGCAGTATTCTCCCATACAGCAGGGGGCAGCGTGACGCAGTATTCTCCCATACAGCAGGGGGCAGCCTGACGCAGTATTCTCCCATACAGCAGGGGGCAGCGTGACGCAGTATTCTCCCATACAGCAGGGGGCAGCCTGACGCAGTATTCTCCCATACAGCAGGGGGCAGCGTGACGCAGTATTCTCCCATACAGCAGGGGGCAGCCTGACGCAGTATTCTCCCATACAGCAGGGGGCAGCGTGACGCAGTATTCTCCCATACAGCAGGGGGCAGCGTGACGCAGTATTCTCCCATACAGCAGGGGGCAGCGTGACGCAGTATTCTCCCATACAGCAGGGGGCAGCCTGACGCAGTATTCTCCCATACAGCAGGGGGCAGCGTGACGCAGTATTCTCCCATACAGCAGGGGGCAGCCTGACGCAGTATTCTCCCATGCAGCAGGGGGCAGCCTGACGCAGTATTCTCCCATGCAGCAGGGGGCAGCGTGACGCAGTATTCTCCCATACAGCAGGGGGCAGCGTGACGCAGTATTCTCCCATACAGCAGGGGGCAGCGTGACGCAGTATTCTCCCATACAGCAGGGGGCAGCGTGACGCAGTATTCTCCCATACAGCAGGGGGCAGCCTGACGCAGTATTCTCCCATACAGCAGGGGGCAGCGTGACGCAGTATTCTCCCATACAGCAGGGGGCAGCGTGACGCAGTATTCTCCCATACAGCAGGGGGCAGCGTGACGCAGTATTCTCCCATACAGCAGGGGGCAGCCTGACGCAGTATTCTCCCATGCAGCAGGGGGCAGCGTGACGCAGTATTCTCCCATGCAGCAGGGGGCAGCCTGACGCAGTATTCTCCCATACAGCAGGGGGCAGCCTGACGCAGTATTCTCCCATACAGCAGGGGGCAGCCTGACGCAGTATTCTCCCATACAGCAGGGGGCAGCCTGACGCAGTATTCTCCCATACAGCAGGGGGCAGCCTGACGCAGTATTCTCCCATACAGCAGGGGGCAGCGTGACGCAGTATTCTCCCATACAGCAGGGGGCAGCCTGACGCAGTATTCTCCCATACAGCAGGGGGCAGCGTGACGCAGTATTCTCCCATGCAGCAGGGGGCAGCGTGACGCAGTATTCTCCCATACAGCAGGGGGCAGCCTGACGCAGTATTCTCCCATACAGCAGGGGGCAGCGTGACGCAGTATTCTCCCATACAGCAGGGGGCAGCGTGACGCAGTATTCTCCCATACAGCAGGGGGCAGCCTGACGCAGTATTCTCCCATACAGCAGGGGGCAGCGTGACGCAGTATTCTCCCATACAGCAGGGGGCAGCCTGACGCAGTATTCTCCCATACAGCAGGGGGCAGCGTGACGCAGTATTCTCCCATACAGCAGGGGGCAGCCTGACGCAGTATTCTCCCATACAGCAGGGGGCAGCCTGACGCAGTATTCTCCCATACAGCAGGGGGCAGCCTGACGCAGTATTCTCCCATACAGCAGGGGGCAGCGTGACGCAGTATTCTGACGCAGTATTCCCATACAGCAGGGGGCAGCGTGACGCAGTATTCTCCCATACAGCAGGGGGCAGCGTGACGCAGTATTCTCCCATACAGCAGGGGGCAGCGTGACGCAGTATTCTCCCATACAGCAGGGGGCAGCGTGACGCAGTATTCTCCCATACAGCAGGGGGCAGCGTGACGCAGTATTCTCCCATACAGCAGGGGGCAGCGTGACGCAGTATTCTCCCATACAGCAGGGGGCAGCGTGACGCAGTATTCTCCCATACAGCAGGGGGCAGCGTGACGCAGTATTCTCCCATACAGCAGGGGGCAGCGGACGCAGTATTCTCCCATACAGCAGGGGGCAGCCTGACGCAGTATTCTCCCATACAGCAGGGGGCAGCCTGACGCAGTATTCTCCCATACAGCAGGGGCAGCGTGACGCAGTATTCTCCCATACAGCAGGGGGCAGCCTGACGCAGTATTCTCCCATACAGCAGGGGGCAGCGTGACGCAGTATTCTCCCATACAGCAGGGGGCAGCGTGACGCAGTATTCTCCCATACAGCAGGGGGCAGCGTGACGCAGTATTCTCCCATACAGCAGGGGGCAGGGGTATCCCATACAGCAGGGCACGTGACGCAGTATTCTCCCATACAGCAGGGGGCAGCGTGACGCAGTATTCTCCCATACAGCAGGGGCAGCTGGCAGTATTCTCCCATACAGCAGGGGCAGTGACGCAGTATTCTCCCATACAGCAGGGGGCAGCGTGACGCAGTATTCTCCCATACAGCAGGGGGCAGCGTGACGCAGTATTCTCCCATACAGCAGGGGCAGCGTGACGCAGTATTCTCCCATACAGCAGGGGGCAGCCCTACAGCGGACTGACGCAGTATTCTCCCATACAGCAGGGGGCAGCGTGACGCAGTATTCTCCCATACAGCAGGGGCAGCGTGACGCAGTATTCTCCCATACAGCAGGGCAGGGGCAGCGTGACGCAGTATTCTCCCATACAGCAGGGGGCAGCGTGACGCAGTATTCTCCCATACAGCAGGGGGCAGCCTGACGCAGTATTCTCCCATACAGCAGGGGGCAGCCTGACGCAGTATTCTCCCATACAGCAGGGGGCAGCCTGACGCAGTATTCTCCCATACAGCAGGGGGCAGCGTGACGCAGTATTCTCCCATACAGCAGGGGCAGCGTGACGCAGTATTCTCCCATACAGCAGGGGGCAGCTGACGCAGTATTCTCCCATACAGCAGGGGCAGCGTGACGCAGTATTCTCCCATACAGCAGGGGGCAGCGTGACGCAGTATTCTCCCATACAGCAGGGGCAGCGTGACCAGTATTCTCCCATACAGCAGGGGGCAGCGTGACGCAGTATTCTCCCATACAGCAGGGGGCAGCGTGACGCAGTATTCTCCCATACAGCAGGGGGCAGCGTGACGCAGTATTCTCCCATACAGCAGGGGCAGCGTGACGCAGTATTCTCCCATACAGCAGGGGGCAGCGTGACGCAGTATTCTCCCATACAGCAGGGGGCAGCGTGACGCAGTATTCTCCCATACAGCAGGGGCAGCGTGGCAGTATTCTCCCATACAGCAGGGGGCAGCGTGACGCAGTATTCTCCCATACAGCAGGGGGCAGCGTGACGCAGTATTCTCCCATACAGCAGGGGGCAGCCTGACGCAGTATTCTCCCATACAGCAGGGGGCAGCGTGACGCAGTATTCTCCCATACAGCAGGGGGCAGCGTGACGCAGTATTCTCCCATACAGCAGGGGGCAGCGTGACGCAGTATTCTCCCATGCAGCAGGGGGCAGCCTGACGCAGTATTCTCCCATACAGCAGGGGGCAGCGTGACGCAGTATTCTCCCATACAGCAGGGGGCAGCCTGACGCAGTATTCTCCCATACAGCAGGGGGCAGCCTGACGCAGTATTCTCCCATACAGCAGGGGGCAGCCTGACGCAGTATTCTCCCATACAGCAGGGGGCAGCCTGACGCAGTATTCTCCCATACAGCAGGGGGCAGCGTGACGCAGTATTCTCCCATACAGCAGGGGGCAGCCTGACGCAGTATTCTCCCATACAGCAGGGGGCAGCGTGACGCAGTATTCTCCCATACAGCAGGGGGCAGCCTGACGCAGTATTCTCCCATACAGCAGGGGGCAGCGTGACGCAGTATTCTCCCATACAGCAGGGGGCAGCGTGACGCAGTATTCTCCCATACAGCAGGGGGCAGCGTGACGCAGTATTCTCCCATACAGCAGGGGGCAGCGTGACGCAGTATTCTCCCATACAGCAGGGGGCAGCCTGACGCAGTATTCTCCCATACAGCAGGGGGCAGCGTGACGCAGTATTCTCCCATACAGCAGGGGGCAGCCTGACGCAGTATTCTCCCATACAGCAGGGGGCAGCGTGACGCAGTATTCTCCCATACAGCAGGGGGCAGCGTGACGCAGTATTCTCCCATACAGCAGGGGGCAGCGTGACGCAGTATTCTCCCATACAGCAGGGGGCAGCGTGACGCAGTATTCTCCCATACAGCAGGGGGCAGCCTGACGCAGTATTCTCCCATACAGCAGGGGGCAGCGTGACGCAGTATTCTCCCATACAGCAGGGGGCAGCGTGACGCAGTATTCTCCCATACAGCAGGGGGCAGCGTGACGCAGTATTCTCCCATACAGCAGGGGGCAGCCTGACGCAGTATTCTCCCATACAGCAGGGGGCAGCCTGACGCAGTATTCTCCCATACAGCAGGGGGCAGCCTCTGAACCGGAACAGCTCCTGGAGTAAACACTGTGGCTCCGCTAGCTGAGCATGTTTGGTTTAGGACTTTCTTCTTGTGAATCGTCCACACATTAGGATTTAACCTCCGGTTAAAACGGTAAATCGTCGTTAGTTTAAACGTAACCTCACGTTATGGGCTCAGAAGGATACATCAGTTGCCATAGCGATCACCAGATTAAATGTGGCTCAATAATGCTTAAAATGTCACAAGATTAGCGGTTAGAAGCATAAACGTTTTGCTTAGTTTAATCTGAAATATTTAACATTAATTAGGGAACTATAGAACCTTTTCTGCAACGCATACAATGCTTTAACGGTAAATGAATAAACCGACAGTCTTTATATGTAATTAGACAAGATAATCTAACGTTATCATTTTTATCAACAAAAGACTATCTTACGTATGTTCAATCAGCCCCTTTCAAACACACATAGTAGAAATGCAATACAGTGATGAAATAATATATCCAAGGTACTTTAACAGTTTCTCTCTAACCCACTGCCTTTGGAGTGGTGTGGATTGTCTCAGTAACACATTTGGACAGAATAGTGGACAATATTTAATAGAGATGGTTTTACCACTATTTGTGCATATGACTTAAATCCTGTTTTTTTCCATTTACAGACTTTTAGAGTGGCCATATCAAGATGACAACTGACGCTGGTAACAAAGAGAAAGTACTGACTTTCTATCCTACAAAAGAGGAATTCAGGGACTTCAGTCGCTATGTGGCCTACATGGAGTCGCAGGGAGCCCACCAGGCTGGCATTGCAAAGGTAGAAGAGGTTTGCTAAGACTATTGTGCCAACGCTTTCACTGTGCATATCATTATTAATTACTATAGAGTGTAGCCACGGCGGCCATACTGGAGGACGACCTCGGCGAATAACAGCCATGCCAGATACTTATAACTGGACGTTCAAAACTAGAACTCTCTCGAACTACATGAAAACTGAACAAATAATACGAAAAAATCAGCAGTTAGTGACCCAAATATGTACTCAACCTAAATCCATGATTCAGCAGAACATACCGTAGTTTGTTTTGAAAACCATATGAAACCATATGATTGAGATAAAGAACCTTTAGTCCCACAGTGGAGAAATGTCAGTGTTGCATCACAAGTTAAAGAACGGTAGGAATGAGAAGCACACAACATAAGTGTATAGCACAAGTAAATACTTATAATAAAAGTATAAAATACTGCATCCTCTAGTGGAAGAAATATATATATATATATATAATCAGTAATACACTCTAGTGCAAGAATAAAAAGGTAATTAGTCTGAGGTTACAAATGTTCACTGTGATGTAATTACTGTACATGTTAGTAGCATATGATACTACTTTATATGTTTGCAGCACGAGGGTGTGACAGTGGACACACCTGGTCCCATAATACACATTTTAACATAATCTCAAATTATTACACAGACGCATGGTTTGTGAGGGTCGGCAGTGCTCATTAGTCCTCATTGTTAATTGTCTGAAAGCAGCACAAAGGAAAGACCTCCTGAACCTCTCCTTCACAATATCACTATGTATGGAGGAAACAAACTGCTTTTATGAATGTACCATTTCCTCTTAAAAAATATTATTTTGAAGGCATGCATAGCCTCAGAGTGTTGCTTTGTATTACTCTGGTTGAGTTTGCAGGTCCGATATCCACTATTACATGTCAAAAGCTGTGAAAAGTCCATTTAGTTATGTGAAAGTGTATACCAGAAATGGCGCATTTGTTACTCCTGCTGAGCTATCCTCATTTCTCAGGTCATTCCCCCTAAGGGCTGGAAGCCGAGAAAGACGTATGATGATATTGATGACCTGGTCATTCCTGCTCCCATCCAGCAAGTAGTGACTGGCCAATCAGGGCTCTTCACGCAGTACAACATCCAGAAGAAGCCTATGACCGTCCATGACTTCCGCAAAACCTCTAATTTGGAGAAGTACATGACACACTTACTTAAACGATCGTCAGCAGCTCAGAGGCCAACCCAAATGTCACCTGTGCAGGTTCTTCCATCCCCAGTATGCAGATTGTGAGGAACTGGAGCGAAAGTTTTGGAAGAATCTTACCTTCAACCCTCCTCTGTATGGAGCGGAGGTTAGCGGCTCCCTGTTTGATAAAGTAAGTTACAAGAATGGAACACACAGAACTCTACTCTTAATATTTTAGTGTACTGTGAACAGAATGTTTTGATTATATTTAGAATTGGTGCAGCTGTGATATGAGACCAGTTCACAGCGTTGTTCAAAAGCCTGTAAAACTACAGGATCATGACACTTGCACAATCACTGGTTCACTTTAAAGGTCCAATACAAAGTGTTCAGAGCTTATTCATTGTATTACTGGTTTAAACCATGAACACTAAAATAAAATGTTACAGGCTATTTAATACAAACAACATTTTAAAGCTAAATGACCTTGTACTGAATAGGGATGTAAAAAACTATGAATTTTCATGACCGACCACCGAGCCTCATTAACCGGTTGAAACCGGTTAACCGCGTAGTTTAAAATAGTCCACGTTCTTTGAAATAACAGCCATTTCGAGCCGCGTACTTCTCATAAGTGCAGCTCTGCGTTCTACTGGATCAGAGCCGAGACAGCGGCGCCCAAACCCGCAACAGCTCCGGCACCTTTGCGCACAGAGAACTGCTTTTTTAATCTTCCTATTCTGCTGTGCTGCGGGTTAAAACCAAAACTTTCTAGCAGCAAACGACGGCTCGTTCACATGGTCAGAGCAGCGAGTGACGCGTCTCACAGGTCTTCACAAAAGTTTAAATACAAGTGATGTGTGTGGAGCTGATCCCGAGGACCATAAACACAAACATGTTTCCCCTACAGCAAAACATGTAGGGGAAATACGCGACTCCCAAAGGAGCCGCGTATTTGCGCGAATCCTTTGGGCTCCGTGACACAGAGGAGCGCGACAGACCGGTGTGTGTGTGTGTATGTATGTGTGTGTGTATGTATGTGTGTGTGTATGTGTGTGTGTATGTCAATCAATCAATCAATCAATCAATCACTTTATTTATCCCCGAGGGGCAATTAAAAAGCACGGAGAGTTGCAAGTTAAATGTGTATGTGTGTGTGTGTAAATGTAAGCTCCAATGTAGTTCTGACCCGCGCCAGTGTGCAACTTTGACGGTGAGGGGAGAGATGATGCGTGTGGATGTTACGTATGGAGAGGGGGAAAGTGTGTGTGTGTGTGTGTGTGCGCGTGCGTGTGTGCATATGTGGCTCGTGCGGCGTGAGAGTCGTCCCGGAGTTTATAATACATGGGCTGTGACGGTCAAAACCACCCGGTTAACCGGTCACTGATTTACATCCCACGATTTTGAGAATTCTAAGGAAAGACCTTTTTTCCTCGTAACTCGCGGCCTGAAATTTATTTTACCAGTGAGATTAGCTGGACGCAAGTGAGTTCTGGAAACCTGGATCACAGACTTTCTGATTGGTAAAACGTGGAGGGTGGGACATCTGAATTAAACAATAACAAGATTTAGGGGCTGTAAATCCAGCATGGTTTTATTAATGCCTTTTCACGTATTAGGGCCATTTACTGATGACTGACATGAAATTCTTACATATTTACAGTGGGGCAGAAAAAGTATTTTGTCAGCCACCGATTTGTGCAAGTTCTCCCACTTAAAAATAATGACAGAGGTCTGTAATTTTCAACAGAGGTACACTTCAATTGTGAGGACAAAAATCCATGAATTCACATTGTAGGATTTTTAAAGAATTTTATTTGTAAATATGGTGGGAAATAAGTATTTGTCTCCAATAACAAAAATTCAACTCAATACTTGTAAATAACCTTTGTTAGCACTAACAAGGTCAAACGATTTCTCTAGGTCTTTTACTAGGTTTGCACACACAGTAGCTGTATTTTGGCCCATTCCTCCATGCAGACTTCTCGAGAGCAGTGAACACGGACCTTTCAACTCCCTCCACAGATTTTCATGGGGTTGAGGTCTGAGGGCCACACCAGGAACTTTAAAATGGTTCTAATGGAGCCTCTCCTTCGTTTCCCGGGCGATGTTGGTTTGGGTAGACTGGTTCTGCCAACCTCTTGTAGTTCCACCCATGCTCACCAGAGCGTTTGGCTGAACCACCAGGGGTCGGTATCGACGCAAGCGAACGCCTTCCCCAGGTTATTTTTTAATCGACCAATAAGATTGCCTGTGTTACGTGGGGTTTGCACTGCCTTTCTCAAGCTTCTCTCATGCAGCAGCAAGAGGAATTCAAGATGGAGGACTAAAGTCCACAAATCTTTTTAAAAGAGTAAATACGATTGAATTAAGACACGTATGTCACATTTAATGCAATTTGAGGCGAGGATGTTGATGGTTCTAGTGTTGATATATTGTGTTTTAAGAGTCAAAATGTTCCTGTAACAGTTGGGTTGAAAGCCCTGGTTCAGTGTTCCTGTTTACACACTATGCAGTCAGGTTGCCAGGATTGGTGGTTCCCGTCATATGTTTTTTCCAAGAGACTTGTAAGTATTAAATAAACAGAAAGAACAATAATCGACTAAAACAGTTTCAAAACAAGTGCAAATCATTAAAGTGCTCTGTTCACACTGATAACAGCCTGTGGATAAAAACTGTTAGCGTAACGAGATGTCCTGCATCTCAGAGAGCGATATCTTCTGCCAGAGGGAAGAAGCTGGAACATGGCTTTCCCAGGGTGGCCAGAAGAGTCATTAACAATCCTAAGAGCTTTGTTTAAAAGTCTGGATTTATAAAGAACCTCCAGAACAGGAAGCTCACAGCCCACGCAAGCTCACAGATCTTGCGTGGAGCCCCAGATGGAGGGAGATTATCAGTGGTCTTGTATGTCTTCCATTTTCTGATAATTGCTCCCACAGTTGATTTGTTCACACCAAGCTGCTTGCCTATTGTAGATTCACTCTTCCCAGTCTGGTGCATGACTACAATTCTTTTCCTGGTGTCCTTGGACAGCTCTTTGGTCTTGGCCATAGTGGAGTTTGGAGTCTGACTGTTTGAGGCTGTGGACAGGTGTCTTTTATACAGATGAGTTCAAACAGGTGCCATTAATACAGGTAACGAGTGGAGGACAGAAGAGCTTCTTAAAGAAGAAGTTACAGGTCTGTGAGAGCCACAGATCTTCCTTGTTTGAAGTGACCAAATACTTATTTTCCACCATCATTTACAAATAAATTCTTAAAAAATCCTACAATGTGAATTCCTGGATTTTTTTTTCACATTCTGTCTCTCACAGTTGAAGTGAACCTATGATGAAAATTACAGACCTCTGTCATTATTTTAAGTGGGAGAACTTGCACAATCGGTGGCTGACTAAATACTTTTTTGCCCCACTGTATGTCATCAAATTGCACAGGGCCCAACGGCAGCATAAAATTAGCAACATTAGCCTAGCAGCATAAGGCCAGCAGCATTAGCCCAGCAGACACCACTGGAAACAGCGAACAACACGGCATTGATTCAAAAAGAGTTTGAGGCATTGCGGGGAAATGAAAAGATATATCAGCTTCACCTCGAAGCATATTCAACACACTCCAAAACAAGCTGTGAAAAGATTTTTAAAAAACTGACGCAGGACTATTAAAAAAACTAACAGACCACAACAACCGGAGTGGTTATGACCGTAAAATAAACAAATGGGTTTGGCGCATGGATCTATAATAATAACAGGTTTGGCGTAATGAGTTTTGCTTATGCAGCAATCGAAACTCATGACGTCGCCGAGTGGTCCTACTGCAGGAGAGACACATCCACAGAGGACCGAGGGAGAGGAAGGTTCCTGTGCAAGTTCCATCCTGCTCCTTTTACCAGGAACTCCTGCTAATGAGAATGGGAGTGAATGTCGTCTATTCTGTCTGTGTCTTATCTGTCCATGTCTGGTCTGTTGGATCTACTTTTGTCTTGACATTTTGATTTTTGGCTGTAGCTGGGGCATCTTTTTATCTTCTTTTGAATTGTCAGTGCAATCTGACATGATTTGTCAGACCTTGAAATAATGCAAATAAAGTCAATTACATAATTTAAATAAAAAGCAACTAGTGTTTTAGCAACTTCTAATGGACAGAGGTGGTATTTGGATACATCATACTGTATATCTTCTGATTATTAAAATCTAATGTTTGGCTTTTTGTAACACTTTAGTGTGAACAAGCCCATTTCCTTGATCCCGAATCGTACCCAAATTAATTAGTTAACAGTACGGCGAGTTAGTAATACTGAACTTACAGATAACACCAGGAATAACACCAGGTTTGAGTCCAGTTTCATGGTAACCGTAGTTCTGGAAGCAGTCTTTGGGGAAGATTTACACCCAAAAACACATGTTCTCTGAGTTGACGTGATGCTAACACTTTTAGTGTACAATAGGAGCAGTAACAACTACAGAGCTTAATGTGAACCAAACAGACTGTGGTAATGCATCAGATTCATTTGTTTTGATTTCCCCCTCGTCAATCACTGCAGCTTGAGCTGCGTCAAGTAGTGCAGTGTTATGCCTTTTGCGACCTCTTGAGAATGAAAGATTGCTCTCTAACTAAAGCTTGAGGGAATCAAGCTTTGGATACGTGTAGGAAGGCCAAATAGCACTTTAATGATGCTTAAAGCATAAAATACTCAAAAAGCGTAAAATGAGACCTTTTATACATATGCTTGCAACATTTCTAATTAAGTGAACAAAAATATGTAGTTTTTTCGGCAAATGGCAATAAATTGATTAACTGATGTGAAAATGATGCATGACTTATGTATTGACCAATGCAGGCCAAACTAAGCAGAATAAGCCCGAGGCGTGACAGAACAGGTGCAGTTATAGCAGATTACAGCTTAATCAAATAGTAGCTGATTTTCTCATATATCAGATTCAGATTCAGATTCAGATTCATTTATTTGCCATTTGCAGTAAAACCACATTGGAAAAACTGTGCAAGACTACCCCGGTGTGCGCCAGACAGAGACGACACACACCAGAGCTCTTACCACGGCGCCATCTTTTCCGGCGCCATGCGACAAACAGTAGAATAAACAGCAGAGAGCAATAACATACAGGTTACAACAGACAGTTGGATAGAAAACATTGTGCTTTGTATAAACCACGGATCTTTTTTCGGGATGAGCGCCTTCTGCAGCCGGTGGCTGTCAGAGGGGGGCGGGGTCAGGGAGGGGGTGAGTCGGAAACACAGTAAGGAGGGGAGGGGAGGGAGGGATCAGAGGGAGGCGGGGGGAGCGGGATCCAAGCTGGAACTGGCTGAAAGAGTGTGAGATTGTTGTAGAGTCCAGATTTATTATGATGGCCTTGGCCCGAGGAATGTGAGATAAGAGAGGAGCGAAGACACAGCAAGGAGAAAAACACATCTTCCTGTAACGAGGGACAATATTGTACGCATTTTAGCAGTCAAGAACAGGCAGATATTCTATTAAATCCAATATAAATTTGTATAAGGGTGCAAAATGTTTTCATCTTCCTAAGAGGGGCCTGGCAGAAAATTATTAAGAAGCACTGCAGAGCAAGATGTGAGCATCAGCTTCATTAGGTCTATCTGTGTGATCTTTTATAGCTTAAAATATAACATACTGTACAGTACAGACCAAAGGTTTGGACACAACTTCTCATTCATAGAGTTTTTTATTTTCATGATAATGAAAATTGTAGATTGACACTGAAGGCATCAAACTTATGAATGAACTCATGTGAATTATGTTCGTAGTAAAAAGTATGAACCAACTATGTGTTATATTCTGGTTCTTCAAAGTAGCTCCTTTTGCTCTGATACTGCTTCACTCAGTATCAGAGCATTCTCTGGATGAGCTTCAAGAGGACCTGAAATGGTCTGAGTTCCCATGATGCTTAGCACTTGTTGGCCCCTTCACTCTGTGGTCCAGCCCTAAAACCATCTGGACTGGGTTCAGGTCTAAAACCATCTGGACTGGGTTCAGGTCTAAAACCATCTGGACTGGGTTCAGGTCTAAAACCATCTGGACTGGGTTCAGGTCTAAAACCATCTGGACTGGGTTCAGGTCCAAAACCATCTGGACTGGGTTCAGGTCCAAAACCATCTGGACTGGGTTCAGGTCCAAAACCATCTGGACTGGGTTCAGGTCCAAAACCATCTGGACTGGGTTCAGGTCCAAAACCATCTGGACTGGGTTCAGGTCCAAAACCATCTGGACTGGGTTCAGGTCCAAAACCATCTGGACTGGGTTCAGGTCCGGTCTCTCTCCTTATTGGTCAAACAGCCCTTACACAGCCTGGTGCAGGTCTACAGCAATAGTCATGAAAATAAAGGACACTCATTGAATGAGAAAGTGTGTCCAAACTTTTGGTCTGTACAGTATGTCATTTTGTTTTCACTACACAGTTGTTTGTTGTGGTCTTTCAAAAAAACTGCAAATAACGTTTGCAAACATACTTGGCCAATATTTGTGCACAAATACAGTCAGACTCACAGTATTGGGCATCTGTTCCTCATGTTCCTCCATAGCTTCAGACTCAGCGCACTCGTTCTGTTGTTCCTCTGTGGGGGGGCCCTCTTCCTCGCTGTAGTCTCCTTTGGCGTAGCTGTGGACATGCAGCACATCGGCAGGGCTCAGCGTCCTCTGGAACCCTTTGGTGTGGGTACTACTCAGAGAAGGCTGGTAGTCTAAGCACTTTCCTCCATCAGAGGCAGCAGACATTGGCTCACTGTCATTGTGCACTGAGACACCCCGTGCTGGGACACCCCGTGCTGGGACACCCCGTGCTGGGACCCCCCGTGCTGGGACCCCCTGCTCTGGAACACCCTGCTCTGGAACGTCAGCTCGACTTCGGTCTTTCTTTGATGGACTCCGTCTAATGGATTTCCTTGGGCCCATTTTAGCCGGGGACTTAGTTAGAGGTTTAGAGTCCTCTTCTTGCTTTAGTTCTTGCTTCTCTTTAACTGTTCCTGTGAAGTTGTTAATTTAGGAAAAAGAGGGACATGAATATAAAATATCCTTTATGCAGCATTGTGCCTAATAGCAAGCAATGGAGATCTTGGCCATGGACCCAATAAAATCCATTCATAAACTAATCCATAGTTGATGTCATAAATGTGGGCCAGTGCTTCTAATCACACTTCTGGATGAAGTATGTTTTATGAATGAATGAGCAACTTAAATGTGGTTTGCCTGTTGAGTTCATGTGGCCACTCGACACAGTCTCTTTAAAGCAAACTCTTTACAGAAACGCTCTCAATTGAATTGGTCCCACGGACAATTGTTCGGTGTATGGGTGCAAGGGGAGTTGCCACATGGACAATAGCTGTCGACAGATCTGAATAGTCAACATAATTCTTGCAGTCCTATGGGAATCAACATAGGACTGTGACGGTGATAATTTACAGAAGATATTTCAAACTGTTAATCTGGAACTCGAAAATGTCAGTTATTGGTTCAAACAAAACAAATTATCTCTAAATCTAAGTAAAATCATGGTATTTGGCAAAGGTAACTCCAACACTCAGGAAGTGATTCAGATAGAGGGTATTGTTTTAGAAAAGGTCCAAGAAATCACATTTCTGTGAGTCATAATCGACAACAGACTAACTTGGAAACAACACATTAAATACATATCCACTAAAATATCAAAAACTATCTCAGTAACAGCAAAAGCAAAGTACATCTTATATTTCAAAGCTCTACATACTTTATATTGTTCTCTGATTCTGCCATATCTGAATTACCGCTCTGCCATTTGGGGAAACACTTATAAAAACTCAGTAAA